CTTAGCAGTAGAGAGAAAGCAGAGGTCAGAGTAGACTGGAGGTGTGGGCTGCATAGAAATCAAAGTATGTCAAAATGAGCTGGAGGAAGTGTAGGGGTCCCCAGCAGCTGGAAGAACATTAAAGGCAGGGATTGGGGTAGCACAGGTCAAGGCCTCACAAAAGAAAGCAAAATGTTCAGGGCCAACATGATGTATCCCTGCCACTTCAACTTTCTATTTCTAGCCTTGACTGTGCGCCCTCCAATGTAAGATCTGTTGTGCTGTCTGCACAGTGAGATTCTTGATATTTAGATGAATTAAAATGAAATAAATTGAAATGTTCAATTTCTGTGTTGCATGAGCACAGATATAAAGCAAGATAGAAAGTTTAGTGGACAGTCTCTGTTTAGCTCATGGATTTAAAAATTAAACTAAAACCCTAAACCTTCTGCCTTTTACAGTGAGAAGAACTGGATTCTAGTAATTCCACCCCACGTCATGACAGTTCTTCCATCAACCCCAGTGGAGTCACTGATTCTTTCCTTTTCTTCTTTGACATTGAGGGGTAGAAGGTGTGGGTGGGTTAACTAGAAATTTTTTTAAAAATCAGATCTTCTAGCTTTGCAGCTTAGCTTCTGCTTAACCTCATAGGAAGGAAGTCTGGCTGCCCTGTGTTATCAGCGTGAGCTGCTAGTAAATGTGAGACCAGAAGCCAGTTTGTGTCTATTACCCCAGGCTGCCTTAAGCTTGGCTTACAGCTACTGAGAAGGTGCTGTGAAGTCAAACTCTGCTGGGAAATTAAGGTACTTGAAGCAGGGCATCTGATTTTCCAGCACTTAGTATAATACCCTAGGTCTCCCGTAAATGTTTTTTCCATGGCTATTTTGCTAAAGATGGATTTTGATGATGGTTTATTGTCCAGCAGAGGTATCTGATTAACTAGGGGGAAGCCTTACTCTCTCTCTCTTTTTTTTTTTTTTTTTTTTGTTCTCTGCGGGGAGCCTTCTGCTGGTTTCAAGCAGTCTTTTTTTTTTTTTAAATATTATTTTTATATTCCCCATACAATTGCAGCCCCCTTATTTTGACCCCAATGCCTCCCCTCCCTACCCCCCACTCTCCATAGAGTGTCTCTGTTTCATAGTTTTTGTTGATTTTGATTTTCACTTTCTTATAGTTATTCATTTTCCTGGTCCCTTATTTAGGTTTTCTAGATTCCTGCTATGAGTGAGACCATCCGGTATTTTTCTTTTTCTTTCTGGCTTATTTCGCTGAGCATGATCCCTTCCAGCGCCATCCATGTTGCTGCAAATTGCATGTGTTTATCTTTTTTGAATGCTGAGTAATATCCCATGGTATATATGTACCACATCTTCTTGATCCAGTCATCTATTTTTGGGCATTTGGGTTGTTTCCAAAGCTTAGCTATTGTAAACAGTGCTGCTATAAACATAGGGGTGCAGGTGCTCTTTGGAATTGATGTTTCTGTGTCCTTTGGGTAAATACCTAGGAGTGGAATTGCTGGATCAAAGCCTTAATCTCTTAAGGATGAAACACCTCTGTATGAGTTTCCTATTGCTTCTGCAACAGATTTCCACAAACTCAGTCACTTAAAACAATACAAACTTATTATCGTTTAATTCTGGAGGTTAGAAGTCTACAAGGTTCCTTAGTGTTCCTTTTAGAGACTCTGGGTTAGAAAATGTTTCTTTGCCTGTCGTCATCTCCTCCAGCTTTAAAGCCAGAACAGAGACATCTTCTCTCTGTTCCTGCTTCTGGCATCACACAGCCTTCTGTTACTAACTCTGCTTCTTGCCTCCCTCATAATCCAGGATAATCCTCCCATATTAAGGCCATTAATTTATTTTATTTTATTTTTTACATCATTGTTCATTTTTAAACAATATTTGCTTCCCCCACCCCCTAGGGTGTAGTCCCCATAAAGTTTCCTTCCCCAAGGCACCTGTGCACCATCACCTCAGTCCCCTGTGCCCCTCCCTCCCTCCCTCTCACCCTTCTACCTCCTCCTCCCCTGCAGGATGTCTCTGATTTATAACTGTCTGTTTTTGCTTTGTTGTGTTTTGTACTGTTATTTTTTTTACACTGATGTCTTATCTGGTTTCCCTATGTTCCTGCTGTAAGTGAAACCATCTGATATTTTTCTTTTTCCCTCTGGCTTATTTCACTGAGCATAATTCCTTCTAGCTCCATCCATGTTGCTGCGAATGACATGAGTTTATCCTTTTTGATTGCTGAGTAATATTCCATGGTGTATATGTACCACATCTTCTTGATCCAGTCATCTATTTTTGGGCATTTGGGTTGTTTCCAGCTTTTACTTATCGTAAATAGTGCTGCAGTAAACATAGGGGTACAGGAGTTCTTTTGGATCAATGTTTTTGTGTCCTTTGGGTAGATCCCTAGGAGTGGAATTGTAAGGCCACTAATTTATCACATTTGCAAAATCTTTTTTTGCCATGTAAAGACTAGGTTTTAGAGTGTGGACTTTTTTTGGTGGGTGGGGGTAGAGAGGGTAATTATTCAATTTTTCAAAACCATTGGAGGAATTATCTAGTTTGTAACTAGCTTGACCCTAGTGGGGTGGTGGCGAGGGGCAGGGTGAGGTAATATGAGAAGACCAGCCTGAGCACATCCCGAACCTGGCCTACCGGGGACTCGGCTCTGAGTTACACCCTGAAGTCTTAATTTCTAATTAAGTCTAATTCATCCCCTTAGTTTAAGAGAAGACCATGCTGTAGTGATAAGACATCTTCCTGCGTGTATGAAGGTGATCACAGGTAGCACTGTAGATTGGGGTAATTAGAATGTAAGATCCCAGGAAGATAAGGGAGATATATTATTATTTCAAGGGTAAGCTCACTAGCGTTAACAGCGAGGTTATGTAAGAAAGCGTCCCTGATCTTAGGAAATATATACCAGAGTTTGTGACAAAGGGGCCATGTTATATGCAATGTGTACTCGAGTGGGTCAGAGAAAGATCTATTGTGCATCATGTCTGCACATACAATGAGGGTGAGCAAGCAACAGCAAGCAGGTGAGAAAGCACATGGGGTGAAAGAAGACTGGTGGGTGAGGTGGGTAGAGGGGCACAAGCTGTGTTCTTGTACACTTCTAGTTCTTGCATTTTTTTCTGTAGGTTTCAAATTTTTCCAAATACAAAGTAAAAAAATGAAGAAAATCTGCTGGGTACCAGAAAGCATGCAAGGTATTTTCCCAGGTAGTGGGAAAAACAAAGCCCTCTTCAGAGGAAAAGTTACTTACTGAGAAGAAGGTTCTCCTTCGGGCAGCTGTGACACTGGTCCTCAGCAGGCCCCCTGCAGCGGAAGCACTTAGAGTGACAGGGCTGGCACCCCAGAGACTCATGCCAGTACTCAGAGACGGTACATTCCTTGTGAGGCACGCACTCCCCATGGCTGTTCATCGTCAGGCCTTTCTGACAGGTCTGGCAGGTGTCAGCCTTCGAGCAGGTCTGGCAGGACTCATGGCAATCTGGAGGCAGAAGGGCGGCAGACAGGGTGAGAGGTGGCTGGGGTACCCCTTCAGGGAGTTACTTCCCCTGGGAAGTGTGTTTACATTCCTTTCACCTTCCTCCAGAGATTTCTAGAGCACTGTCCACAGGTATGGGACCATGAGTTGGGGAAGGGGTTCCAGGGTTGAGCATTCATGTTGCAAAATGAGGAAAAAATGGCCACTCATAGTACAGACTGAAGCGCAACAACCCACTTCAGGAATATTAGTGAAATTGTAATTGCCCAAATTACAACAAAAAATAAACAGCTCTCCACACTAGTTCGTGATCTTTTGCCATCATATCTTCTGTGGTCTTTCCACACCTCCCAGAAAACCTTGAGGTTATGTCAAGACATAATTACCTCTAGGCAAAAAGGGTGTCTTTTGTATTCATTTATGAACGCACAGTGCCTGTGAGAGGGTCTGGTATGCAATAGGCTCTCCATATGTATTTGTTAGACTAATAATAAGAGCAACTCATTCCCACTTCAGGGTTTTAACCATTGCCATTCCCTCTGCCTAGAATTCTCTTTTCTCGGATATATGCGCCCTTTATTCCCTGTTTCTTCCTGTCTTCCAGGATGCCTTCTCTGGAATTTCAATTCTGTCCTACCTAACTGCCTGTCCTCCTTCCCTGACTGATTTTTTCCTTTTGACTTATCTTCCCCCAGTAGGATGTAAGCTCCATGAGGGCAGGGTTTCTGTCTGTATTGTCCCCTGCTGTTCCCTGGGCCTGAACGAGCACACAGCACATAGTAGGTTCCTAATGATCACTCATTGGATGAGTGTCGCATAACTCAGGTGTACCCCTTCTGCCATGCAGGCACAGCCGCCCGTCTCCAAGTCCATGTTCTTTCAAGCCAGGGGAAACATAAAACACACAAAAAAAGTTTATCCAGATCATAAAGCTAGAGCAGATTGCTTTCAGGAGTAAAATCTATCTTCCGATCTTACCAAAAATGTTTCTCTAAGTATGTTCTAGAATGCAGCTGGTCCAAGCTTTCTCTTGCAACCTGAGTTTACCTTCAAACTCTCACTATGGTTTAAGGCTCTGGCCTCTGGAATCCAGTAGTGTTTGTTTCATGGAAAATTAGAGGTAAAATACTGGCTGCCTATCGGAATGAATGCTTTGACTATATAGTCAACAATACTGTATAATATACTAAAAGTTGCTAAGAAAGTAAATTTTAAATATTCTTACCAAACAAGTAACTTCGTGGAGTGATGGACGTGTTAGCTAAATTTACTGTGATCATCATTTAGTGATACACAGATGTATCCGTCACCACACATCCCTTAAACTTACTCAGTGTTATGTAAAGGACATCTCAATTAAATGGGGGGGGGAATAAAAGGAAAGTCCCTTCCTCAAAATGCTTTCCTCATTTGATGGAGAATTTCTCTAGCAAAGGGCAATGGTGTTAATTTTTCTGTTTCTTGCTGAAAGTAGGCAAAAATTCATACAAACTTAAAATATAAAGAGGCAGGAATAAAAACAGATCATCTCTCGAAGGTACAGGGATTGAAGTGCTGAGTGAAAGGTGGGATTGGGGACCCGGGGCAGGAGCAGGTGAAGGGAAGGGAGAGGGAAGGAAGGAGCTTCAGGTTGCATGATAAAGGGAAGGACAGACAGAGAAAATCCTCCACAGCACAGCTTTGTTTATGCCGCTATAAACCTGCAGAGGCTTAACGTTTTAAGGAAAATCTTCCATTTGGGGTGAATTTTGAAGGCTCATTATCTCTGTTACAAATCCTCACAAGAGAATCCTTTTCGGTCAGCTGCTGTCCTGAGGAGGCACAGTGTGATTCATTGCCAATAGAAGTTAGGGATCAAAACTTACAAACAATTCATTTAAAAAATAAATGATAAATTAGAGCAGACTCTAAATATGCTTGAGCATCAGGGAAAGGGGTAGGGTGACAGCTCTCGGGTCAGACGAGACCCGCGCAATCCCCAGAACCTGCTTTGTCTCAGCAGAAACCCAAAACCCACGGGGCTCCCTGGGATATTCCACTTGGCCATGTGCCAGGAGGTCTTTACCTTTGCAGTCATCAGTCCACCTTTCATGGTAAGTTCCTGCTGGACACGCTGCCAAACACCGCCCGTGGTAGAGATACGACAGCAACCACATAGCACAGCTGCTGCAGTCCTCTGCTGACGGGCCGCTGCACTCTAGACAGTCTTGGTGGCAGCGGACACAGTGGCCTGCGTCTTTGTAGAACTTCTTGGGACAGGACTGAAGGCACGTGCCTTCATGCAGGAAGGTGTCAGGCATGCACTCTGCGGGGAGGGGAGAGCAGCAAGTTACCCCCCAGGGGACAGGAGAAAAGGATTCTTTTCTTTTGCTAGTCTAACCCCTACCCTTTGGCTCATTTGACCTCAGAGCACATCGGCCCCATCCCTGGCCTGCCTGGGTACTTCCTGCAGCTCTCACAGGCCCTACTTGGGAGAGGAGACTACAAATCTTGACTTGAGATAATGCTGGCTTTTTGTCCTGAGATGATCTGCCCCCAGGAGGTGCAAAAAGTTGCAGCTGGAAGTATTCCAAAAACTGGGAAATGATTAACAGTTTTGAGAAAATTGGGCCTTCCCGGTGGCGCAGCAGTTGAGCGCTGGGTTGTGAAGCTGCCGCAGCCTCTGCAGCGCCGGTTCGATCCCCGGCTGCTCCCCGGCCACCGGAGGAGGGTCCCACATGGCGCGCAGACCTCTCCTGCCACCCGCTGCTCCCCTCAGCAGTGTACTTCGGTCCTTCTGCCTTCTCTGCTCCTCGCTCTGGCTCTGGTGAATTCTCTCACCCTCCTGCGCTTCTGACTGTACCCAGTGCTTGTATAAATAAAATAAGTAAATCTTTAAAAAAAAAAAAAAAACAAAAACAGTTTTGAAAATTGTATTGAGTACCTGCTGCTCCGGTTAATACAGAAATAAGTTTAGGAATTCTTGGATTAATTAATTTGTCACTCACTGACGGGTTAGTATGAATAAACCTACCTTGTGGGTTTATTTTGAGAGGAATCCTAGCAAAAATTTTAGGTCATACCAAGAGAATTTTTTGGAATAGACACATACTTAAAAGTATTATTCTGGAGAGAAAATGGGACAGTCTCTTTTGGGAGAAAATTCCAGAGAAAATAATCCCTAGCCAGAGTACATTTGTCAGAGTCTCTTATTACAGTTATCTCAATTTTTCTTTTTTGTCTTTTCTAACAGTTGCAATTCTCCAGCTACCGTTGAGCTCATTGCTTCATATCAGACTCTCATAAGATTTTGTACTCAAAAAGATAGGAACTGTGGTCGCTCTGTCTCTTTCTCTCTCTCTCAATAAGAAAAGTCTATACATCTATTTATTAAGGGTGTCAGCCACCATCACATGTGCTTGACAGATTTAAAGTAGAGTGGTGGAAAAAGCTGTGTAATAGGGGGAAAAAAAAAAAAGAGTAGCTTCAGGTATGCCCCGATTGGTGATGGTGAGATTGGGGAACATGTTCGATGGAGTAATAAACCCTGGACACTTGGTGCCAGTTGTTACAGGGTTATTGTTTGGCTTTCGGACTGGTTACTAGAGAAATGTTCTGATACACTGCAAATCTTGCAGGGAGAGAGTAGGTTGCCCTCCTGGACTGGTTATCTTTTAAACATGGTCTTGCCTTTTTGATAGCATCACCTCGGAATCTGAATACTTCCTTGTTTTGGGGGGTTCTTGTCTATATCTCTAGAGCCTGAGGTAGAGCTTGGCATACCTGTGCTCTATGTTCTAAAGTACGTGTGTGGAAGAAATCATGTAAAAAGGGCCCTGGTCTGCCTTAACTTACAGAATTCATAATGGAAAGGACTTTCTTGCCTTTACTTTCCTCAGTGATGTGCACAGAGGTAGATGAAACTTAAGTGAACTAGGGAGACTGCTCCCCTAGTTCTGGATACCCCACCTTTAGAGAGTTGGTCACACGCAGGGGTGGCTCAGTGGCGCCCCCTGTCTCCTGAGATGCTCCCAGGTACCTTTGCATATTTTCTCATGGATGCAATCCTCACACATCTCCGGACATGGCTTGCACACCCCCTCCATGGCCACATGCCTCTTGGAGCACGTTTTCTGGCACATTCCCTGCTCCAGGACAAGGCCTTCTGCACATGAGTGGCAGTTGGTGGCATTTCCTTCACATGTCTTGCAAGAAGAGCTGCAGTGTTCACATGTGTCATTTTCTGCATAGAAGCCCCTGTGGGGAGGAGAGAAAGCAAGTGAAGAAACTTTCCCGCTAAGGAAAGGATTTAATCTTGGTGGCAAAGGAATTAGGACTAAAACCAGCTGCTGCTATAGTTAACAAAAATGAGTCCATCAGAGTTCCTGAGGAAGTCAAAAAACATCTGGAGAAATAAGATGAAAGGAATAGTAAATTGGTTTGTTTGAAAATATATATTAATTTGTTTATAGGTCAGTCATCTTCTGATTTCCCTATTTTACCTCTCAATTTTTTCTCTTTTTCTCTTTTTTGTTAGTGCCTTATTTTAGAAAAGAAAATGCTTTTTATTCAATTGAACATATTTTTAATCAATAATTTAAAAATCAATACATTAAATGTTTTTAAAAGGTTTAATACCCTATAAAATGAGAACCATTTTTTTGGCTTTTGGGTTCTCTCAGCTAACCTCTGATCACGTCTTTCATATACACACCTATAAATATTTGCACACAGCATTGAACATATTTTGAGCACCTCTTATGGATGTATGTGATTGACTTTCTTCCAGGTAGACTCTGTGTGTGTGTGTGTGTGTGTGTGTGTGTGTGTGTGTGAAGGTGTAGATGTAGTACCTTTGAATGATTATCACAATATACAAATCATTCACTGATGTGTAAACACTATTAATAGCAAAAAACCCAAACCCTCTCAAATGTGTGGGAGATGAAGGAATTTGTGACTTTTTTTTTTTTAAAAGGAATAACTGGAACTTGTAGAAGGAGTAAAATCATAAACCAGTCTAGAAAATGGCTTTCGGTGTCATAGGAACCTATTCTAATTGTTTTATAGTTATCCTTCTATTAGTTATTGCCATAACAGTGCTATGAAAGAAAATATCCCCCAAATCATGGCTACCCACGTGTTTGTGGCTTGGCAGATCTAGGCTAAGCTTGTGCTCTAGGGGGAAGGAACTGGCAGCACATACAGGAGAATGACGTAGCCTGCGCTGAGGGGGAAGGAGCCGGACTCCAAACTGCACACTAGGTCCAGGTTGTCACAGACCCTTAACCTTCCTGGTAAGGGGGCTGCTGGGCCATGTGCTTCTCATTGGCATGGCAGAGGCTCCAGAGTGCACATTCAAGCAGGCAAACACGTTTTAAGTTTCTGCCTCTCTTTTCACATCCCACTGGCTGAAATAAATCAGATAACCCCACCCAAAGTCAAGGGTCAAGGAAGTCCATTCTTCCTCATATGTGAGTTGCTGCAGAGTTATAGGCAAGAGGGCATGATACAGGGATCCCAGCATATAATCTGATCTCTATAGCATCTCTGCTGGATATTTTAATGAACTCATTTATATCCATTTAATCATTCTTTCAGTCATTAATTTCTTGTATTCAGTAAGCAAATATATGTTGACTATGTCAGGAAGAAAAAGGACAGGGGTATGTAAAAGTCACATTTCTAATGTGATTTTAAGAGGGAAAAATTGGAATTAAAAAGCAGCTTGGGTAGAAGGAGAACTAAATAGTATACAAACTTAAGACCAAATTTTTTCACACATGAGTGTCCTTAGCGTTTTTGAATCCTCTAAGAATAAAGAACACTTAGAGAATACTCTAAGAATAAGAATAAAGATGTTACTACTTTGTCCAACCAAGTGAGTCTCTAAAAGATTCATTTGATGAGGCAGTGGAGAGAAAGGTATTATATGCTCACCAAAAGTTTAGTTTGATTTGAGAAATTTGGAATTTAGGAAACTAAGTGCATTCTCAAATATATTACATCTTCAGGATGAGAATCTGACGAACCCACCATTCCTATGGGGTAATAAGGCACTTGACTTTGCTGAGTGAGATGATCTTTCTCCCTAGCCAACCTTTTCTAAACTCTGGGAATTTTCTCACTGCTAGAAATGTCTGTGTTTTTCATCTGTAGCCCCTTTGACCACTCCTGATAGCTTCTGCTCAGTAAATAACAGAGTGGGACTCACCCCATCATAGAATTAGGGTGGCATCTGGGCATACCAGCTGGACCATCTCAGTGCTTAGAGGGTGGGGGCTATCTGTCAAGAGATATTGCAGTGGTGCCCAAGGTCTCTCGAGAAGCATTTCTGAACACTGAAAATAAGCAATTCTAGTTTATTTATAGTTTATATTTTTTATGAATATAGTTTATATATTTTTTATGAACCCAAGAAGATACAGCAAGAAGAAATCCTTTTCAGAGTCTTCTCATAAGGGAGTTAGTAGATGTTGATGAGATGCTTAAATGAGAGGAGTAAATTCAAGCACAAAGAAGAAAAAATTATTTATGACTAGTGCTAACTCAAAAACAGGCAAATCTCGGAATCTTGTCAGGAAGAAGCCAAAGGCAACACGAGATTTTTTCAGAAAGTCACTTTGGTAAAAGCAGCCTATTCACACAGATCTCCCTAGTAATTTGTCCTACTGTCTTCTCCCTACATTTGCATTTTCTATGTTAATGCTTTAATTTTCACTGCTAATTTTATTTAAGAAGATAAACATACTTTTGGAGACAGAATGACCATCTGGACTAATGAAGTCCAGAGTACTTTATGCTGAAGTCTTTCAACCCAGGGAAATGTAAAGCAGAAGATGAACGAACGGTTCTGAAACTCAACCTACATTTTAGACAACCAAGCCAGTGCAGCCACTTACAGGAAGACTGTATTTAGTTGCTTCAAATCCATTCATATTTGATGGATTTGAACATGTTATAACTTTTGTGTTGCCTTTTAAACAATAACTATAATGATATTGTAACAGGGTGGTCCCCAGGAAAGGGGGAGGTTCCCTGCCCCTCCCAAGGGAGGGTGGAGCTGAGCAGGAAGAGGAGAAGCTGCAGAAGAGACTGAGGAAGGAAGCAGGATGGAGCCAGGAGACCTGGAGGAGGCACATGGAGCCTAGAGACACGTGAAGAAACTGAGCTTGTCTTTTGGTCGTGGACTGGGTGACACAGATGTGGGTGAGACCCATGGGGAGGTGACAATGGCAGCTTTTATCTTGATGTTGATTTTGCTCTTTTCCTTCCGGGCTTGTCTGCTTGTTTCTGACCCTTTTCTGTGGGTCCCCAATGGAAGATGCTTTAGACTTGTGGCAGGCTTTGGGGCCTTGCTCTGCGCCATTCCCATATGGATGGACTTTTACCCACGAGGGGACGGGTAACTTTGGGTGCTTCATTTAGAAACTAGACTCTTTGCCTTTCCTGTATTGTTTCCTAGTTGTATTAAAGTTCCTTCCCATTAAAGTCTCCTATGTTTTGTGTTGATGCGGCGGATGGCAGAACCCATTTAGAATAGGCAGGTTTGCGGGGTTTGGGCTGCCCCTCTCCCTGTCCTATAACAGATTATATTTTTTATGACTCCAACTTTTTCTTTTTCCATGGCATCTACCTGACATGAAAAGCACTGACCACTAAAGCTGACTTATAAATAATATTGGCTACCTGGATGCTATTTCATTTTCTATTGTGTTTCTGTTATAATTCTTACTGCTGTTTTTAGATGGGTTGCTCCCAAAAGGGTGATTTCTCTGTGAGAGCAACAAAGCTGTCAAGCCCAGACTTTAGGATGTTTGTGTTTTCTTTTTGAACACATAAAGATGGGGCGTCCATAGTAACCATTCCACCCTGCTTCAAAGCAGAAGGGCACATGCTTGTATGGTATTCTCAGGTCATGTTCTTAATTTTCTAATTGCTCAAAAAGTACATAGCTACTCTTATGTCTGTACCTTGTCCCATTGTTTCCTAAGAGTGACTCAGCCCAGATTTGGAGGAGAGAAGTGTTGATTGGTCAACTAATCTGAGGAAGGAAAAGTGCATCTCTTTCTCCCTGGCTTTAGTGTGTTGTCAGTTCCTGGAATACTTGAAAAAGCCAAGAGAGAAATGGGAAAAGACAGCATTCAGTAAAGAAGTAAGGTGATATAATCACAATCAGTTCAATTCCTTCATGGCAAAGGTTAACAAGGAAGTGATAACTGCCTTTGCCAAGTCGACCTCTGCCCTTCACTGTTGTCCTGTAATGCCTTTGCTAAGGCCAGAGCGTGGTTGTTGGGGGAGAAGTTCAACTGAGTTCTCTTACTCTGTCTTGCCTCAGACTGCCTTCTTGGGTTATCTTATCTTGACCCTTTCCTCCCCTTGCTTGCATCCATGCCTTAAAAAATCCTTCTGGAGCTATTTACCAGTAAGCTTCTTCTCAAACACCTCACTGGGGAGGAATTTTGAAAATATTATGGTGAGTAAAGGAAACAAGTCACAAAAGATCCATTTTGTATGACTTCCTTTATATGAAAAGTCTAAGATCAAGGAAATCTGTAAAGACCTAGACCTAAATAAATCAGTGGTTGCTTAAGACTGGGGGCAATCAGGAATAACTATTGAAAGAGTAGAGGCTTTCTTTCTGGAGTGATGGAAAAAATTTTCAAATCAATTGTGATGTACAAGTCTGTGAATATAGTAAAAACCTTTGAATGGTACATTTTATGTGCAGGAATTGTGTGGTATCTAAGTTTTATCTCAATAAAATTATTATTTAAGACTCCACTTAGATGAGAAATTGATATTGAGCAATGGTTAAGCACATGGACAGCAGTGATAATTTGTGTTGAACCCTGGACTCCCATGTGTTAGCTGTGTGACACTGAGCTTGCTGCTGCTTTCCCCGTTTTACAAAAGAGATGGGGGAAGAAAAGTATCTGGATAAGAGGGTTCTTTTGAAGGTTAATGGGATTGTTATAGTGGAAACTCTTAGCACAGTGTCTCAGCATCACGAGCACCCAGAGAGTGGCTGCTTTTAAATGGTTTGTTTTCTCTCAGAATCACTTAATCTTCTGTGTTAAGATCCTATTGGAATTTAGCCTCTTTTGACACTGATCGATGTAAATCTTCCCTGCTGGACTGTAAGCTTGTTGCATGTTCAGACTTCTTCAACTGATCTTAGTTTCCAACATGACTTCTTAGACCTAGTAGGTGCTAAGTATGTGTCTGTAGAATTGAATGAATAAGCTTGGCTTTTA